ACTTTGTACTGAGGTTACTATAATATAGCATATACATGTAGATACTTTGTACTGAGGTTACTATAATATAGCATATACATGTAGATACTTTGTACTGAGGTTACTATAATATAGCATATACGTGTAGATACTTTGTACTGAGGTTACTATAATATAGCATATACATGTAGATACTTTGTACTGAGGTTACTATAATATAGCATATACATGTAGATACTTTGTACTGAGGTTACTATAATATAGCATATACGTGTACATACTTTGTACTGAGGTTACTATAATGTAGCATATACGTGGTGGATATTAGATTCTAGCATCAATCAGTTTGTATTGTGTGGTGGATATTAGATTCTAGCATCAATCAGTTTCTATTGTGTGGTGGATATTAGATTCTAGCATCAATCAGTTTGTATTGTGTGGTGGATATTAGATTCTAGCATCAATCAGTTTCTATTGTGTGGTGGATATTAGATTCTAGCATCAATCAGTTTGTATTGTGTGGTGGATATTAGATTCTAGCATCATCCAGTTTATGTTTGTAAATATTTTGTGCAGAAATTACTGGAATATAAATTTGCTTTTACTTCCTCTCCTACGTCTGACTCTTACAGAACGGTGGTGACACGAAACAGGTTCTGACCTGTACAGAAAGATAGTGACACTATATGGGTTCTGACTTGTACATAAAATTGGTGACACAATACTGGTTCTGACCTGTACATAAAAGTGGTGACACTGTACAGGTTTTGACCTCTACAGAAAGGCAGTGACACTATACGGGTTCTGACCAGTACATAAAAAGTGGTGACGCTATACGGGTTCTGGTCTCTACAGAAAGGTAGTGACACTATACGGGTTCTGACCTGTACATAAAAGTGGTGACACTATACAGGTTCTGACCTCTACAGAAAGGCAGTGACACTATACGGGTTCTGACCAGTACATAAAAAGTGGTGACGCTATACGGGTTCTGGTCTCTACAGAAAGCTAGTGACACTATACGGGTTCTGACCTGTACATAAAAGTGGTGACACTATACAGGTTCTGACATGTAAATACAAGTGGTGACACAATACAAGTTCTGACCTGTACAGAAAGGTGGTAACACTATACGGGTTCTGACCTGTACATAAAAGTGGTGACACAATACGAGTTTTGACTTTTACAACAGGTTATATCATAAAACAGGTTGTGATATCTACAGTGGTGCCACTGTTCTACCAAATATTTTCAGGTAAACTGGAGGTAAGAAGTGAGAATTAAGCAACAAAAGTAGATTCAATGGAAATATGCTGCAAAATAATTAGTCGTCCACTGTTTACAGGACTGTGACACAAATACCACTTCTAAACACTTCAACACCTTGGGGAGTGCCGATAACAAATAAATGATACGCACTAGTGAAAGTTTGTGGATACACAAGATATGTCCTGAATTAAATGTTAATACACAAGATACGTCCTGAATTAAATGTTAATCCACAAGATATGTCCTGAATTAAATGTTAGTCCACAAGATATGTCCTGAATTATATGTTAATCCACAAGATATGTCCTGAATTAAATGTTAATCCACAAGATGTGTCCTGAATTAAATGTTAATACACAAGATACGTCTTTAATTAAATGTTAATCCACAAGATGTGTCCTGAATTAAATGTTAGTCCACAAGATACGTCTTTAATTAAATGTTAATCCACAAGATGTGTCCTGAATTAAATGTTAGTCCACAAGATATGTCCTGAATTAAATGTTAGTCCACAAGATAGGTCCTGAATTAAATGTTAGTCCACAAGATATGTCCTGAATTATATGTTAATCCACAAGATATGTCCTGAATTAAATGTTAATCCACAAGATATGTCCTGAATTAAATGTTAATCCACAAGATATGTCCTGAATTATATGTTAATCCACAAGATACGTCCTGAATTAAATGTTAGTCCACAAGATATGTCCTGAATTAAATGTTAGTCCACAAGATATGTCCTGAATTAAATGTTAATCCACAAGATGTGTCCTGAATTAAATGGTAATCCACAAGATATGTCCTGAATTATATGTTAATCCACAAGATATGTCCTGAATTAAATGGTAATCCACTAGATATGTTCTGAATTAAATGGTAATCCACAAGATATGTCCTGAATTAAATGGTAATCCACAAGATACTTCCTGAATTAAATGGTAATCCACAAGATATGTCCTGAATTGTATGTTAATCCACAAGATATGTCCTGAATCATATGTTAGTCCACAAGATGTGTCCTGAATTATATGTTAGTTCACAAGATATGTCCTGAATTATATGTTAATCTACAAGATATGTCCTGAATCATATGTTAGTCCACAAGATGTGTCCTGAATTATATGTTAGTCCACAAGATATGTCCTGAATTAAATGTTAGACCACAAGATATGTCCTGAATTAAATGCTAATACACAAATTGTGTCCTGAATTATATGTTAGTCCACAAGATATGTCCTGAATTAAATGTTAATACACAAATTGTGTCCTGAATTAAATGTTAATCAAACAGCTTTACCTTTGCTCCTGAAACTTTTAACTGATCATTAACTGAGGATGGTTTTAGTAAAACTGAAAGCTAGCGTATGCACTATTATGAACAATGTTGAGGAGATGTTAAAGTGGTAGAAAGGAACTATCTTGTGGAAGTTTCAAGAAGATCGTAGAGTGTCTGGTTATTAACATTAGTGAAGTTTCTAATTGTATATATATTTATTTATTCACTGTATTATGATTTTTTATAGTACTGTAATTTTTATATTTTGTATGTCTATGAAAAATTATGTATATAATCTCTCTAATTATACTATTTATTTTAAGACTACGTTTCCCTAAAAATATTTCATTGGTTCATATAATTAGGAAAAGATATAATGAAGATGTCTTAAAAAATTAAAATTAAACTGACTGGATCAGCAAAGAAAACACTCAAGTACAAACTTATAACAAGGAATGACTAAATATTGCTCACATAACACACGAAGTGTCACAACATTTCTTTAACTATCATAATTAAAACACATATGGCAGCTGAAGCTGTGAGCTAACATGTCTTCATATATAAAGACACCAAAGAAGTGCTTCTATGCCACACATGTTAAGTCAGATTGAAACCCCAGGGTGGTAACCCAAAATCCTAGTTTACCTTCGTCAGATATTCTCACTACGTCCATCAAAGGGCAGATATGTTCTCTCACCAAACTAGATTTAACAATCTCTGTACAAGCTACTCACTAAGGTATAGTTCACACCCCGGGAGAGCGATGAAGGAAGCCTGTAAATATAAACTGTGTGGAATGGCTACTACGGAAGTATTTAACCTTAACTCAAGGCATGGATTAATGAAAGTTTACAATATTCATGTAAACAAATTGAATTCATTAATTACCTAAATATTCCTGATTGAAGACATTATTTCTGTTACTAAACTGTAAAATATAACACTACTTCTAAACGGATTTTTCAGTCTTTTGTCGAGACAGATGAATCAATGGAGAATCTACATGTTTTAGATTCACTATCGTTATTTTGTTTCTACTGTAAACTTCTGCATAATAATAGTGCATTATAAGTTATGTATTTTACTAAGACTTTTACTATTTTTTATTAATATAACAATCAGACAAAAATTTCAAAGGCTTTGGTAAAATACAAAAAATCTCTATTATTGAAAATAGAAGATATAAATTTTGTCTTACTAAGTTGATCTTATAAAACTCTCGATATGATATTCTGTTTGCAGATGTTTTTCAGTGAGTGAAACGCCAGTAATCAAATCTATCACAATGGGCGCTGCTGCCTGCTCTACTCAAAAAGCTGTTGCTATTACAGCGACCTCCAACGGAGGGATAAGAAACTACACGTCACCATCGAAGTGTGAGGAAACAAGTTTTGCTTTGAAACTGATACGTAATCAGCAGAAATTAACACAACTGCAGAAAAACAAACAAGAAACTGACTTTTCTGGTGGCTATGTGGTCTGTATGAGAGACCACGACCCTCCACTGTTCACTGGTGTTGGCCGTGTGTCAGATGACCAGTGTAAGTGCCCCACAGAATATTGTTTTAATGCAGAAAACCTTCGTTACACCTGTGAGGAAACCCAAAATGCTTACATTCAGAGTCAACAGCTTGAAAACTGTTCATGCCAGTTGGGGAAGAGAACACACTATACTCTCACAGCCGCAAACACCAAAGCAGCAACGGTTAACTATGGTTGTAGCCTCTGCCAGTTTCTGTTAAGTGGCAAACACGAGCACTGGAGTGAACTGCAACAAGATACTTTCATGGTTTACACGGAAAAGTTGCTCTCCCTAAACGATAGCAGCAAAAAACAAAACCAAAACCAAGGTGAGTTTTATCTACATAAAGAAATTCACGGCATGTGAAATAGCATTTAAAGATCCGTATTTACAGTGTTGAAGTCACAGTTAAACTAAAGGTACTTATACTTAACTAATATAAAAACAAAATCCGTATTTACAGTGTTAAAATCACACTTAAACTAAAGGTACTTATACTTAACTAATATAAAACAAGATCGTATTTACAGTGTTAAAATCACACTTAAACTAAAGGTACTTATACTTAACTAATATAAAACAAAATCCGTATTTACAGTGTTAAAATCACACTTAAACTAAAGGTACTTATACTTAACTAATATAAAAACGAGATCCGTATTTACAGTGTTGAAATCACACTTAAACTAAAGGTACTTTTACTTAACTAATATAAAGACAAAATCCGTATTTACAGTGTTAAAATCACACTTAAACTAAAGGTACTTAACTAATATAAAAACAAGATCCGTATTTACAGTGTTGAAATCACACTTAAACTAAAGGTACTTTTATTCAACTAATATAAAAACAAGATACGTGCTTACAGTGTTGAAGTCACATTTAAACTAAAGGTACTTATGTTCAACAAATATAAAAACAAGTTGTTACATATTTACAACATATTATGATTGTAGTTGAAAGTATCCCTTACTAGCTGTAAATTGATGAGTAATGAAAGGTTATCTTGGAACATGAAAAGTTGCTTTCTTTATACGCAATAGTAAAAAAGGCAAAAACTGCAAAACCCAAAAATGTAAAACTTAAACAGTGTATGTATATCCCCACGGACCCATCGAACCTTCAAGCCAGTTTGAGTATGTATATCCCCACGGACCGATCGAACCTTCAAGCCAGTTTGTGTATGTATATTCCTACGGACCCATCGAACCTTCAAACCAGTTTGTGTATGTATATCCCCACGAACCCATCGAACCTTCAAACCAGTTTGTGTATGTATATCCCCACGGACCCATCGAACCTTCAAACCAGTTTGTGTATGTATATCCCCACGGACCCATCGAACCTTCAAGCCAGTTTGTGTATGTATATTCCCACGGACCCATCGAACCTTCAAGCCGGTTTGTGTATGTATATCCCCACGGACCCATCGAACCTTCAAGCCAGTTTGTGTATGTATATCCCCACGGACCCATCAAACCTTCAAACCCGTTTGTGTATGTATATCCCCACGGACCCATCGAACCTTCAAGCCAGTTTGTGTATGTATATCCCCACGGACCCATCGAACCTTTAAACCAGTTTGTGTATGTATATCCCCACGGACCCATCGAACCTTCAAGCCAGTTTGATGAAGATCCATCTACAGGAGGTGAAGTAGTGGTAAAAAAAAAGCCTATAAAACCACAAAATGCAAAACTGGAAATATATATGTACCTCTGAATGGACCGAAGGAACCTCTATATCAAATTTCGTTGAGATCCATCTACAGGAGGTGAAGTAGTGGTAAAAAACGAAAAACGCCCATAAAAAATGCAAAACTGAAAATATGTATGTACTCTCACCTGGACCTAATGAACCTCCATACTAGCAATCGATGTGTTCGAAGGAAAACGAAGTTTGATTATAAACAAGATTACGACACTT